CCCTCTCCCAGGTCTCCGACCACCTCCTCCCACTCTGGGCGGCCCGGGGCTGGCCCGGAGCACCCCTCTGCTGGAGGGCAGGGCGCGCGCCAAAGGCCCCTGAACCTGCGCCTGGGCTGCCCAGCTCCTCTCCTGCGGGAGCCGCCGGCTGCGACCATCTCCTGGGACTTCCCAGGAGTCCCCTGCGCCGCTCCCAAGCCCCTCTCGCTGGGGCACCCCTGGACCCCACACCTCGGGTACCCACAACGTCTCCCATCCCTCTCCCCGCGCCTCTTACCCTAACTCCCCGGCCGGGTCCCGGGCCGCTGACGCTGCCACCCCTCCGCTGGGACACCCCGATACCTCCCCAACTTTGTCGTCCTTTCCAACCCTCCCAGCGTCGGGAGAACCCCCGATGCTGGTCCCAGAGAGTGTCCCGCGCCGGGGACAAATGCGGCGGCCCGGCACCGGGAGGCGGGAGGAGTCGGGCACAAACGTTCTTTGAGACAAATGAGTAAATAAACAGCCCGGTGAGCGCGGCCACCTTCTCAGCGCCAGCCGCAGCGGCCCTTGCGCGCGTGCCTGGGCGAGGTGTGCGTGTGGCCCCGGGCCGCACCTGTGTGCGAGCGCGAGTGTGTCCCCGGCTCTCCCCGCCCCGCCGCGTGCGGAGCCGTGCGGTGAGTGTGCGCGCTACACAGTAGTGGGTGCTCTCCGGCGCGCTGGTCGGTACATTCCTGTGTCTGTCTGTCGTCTGGAGAGTCCCTTGTGCTCGTCATCATACTTGGCGCTGCCTTCCCATCCCGACATCTGTCTCGCGAATGCCTCCTGCTCTCTCCCCCTTCCAAACCCCCACCCTGTCCCCACCCCCCTTGTCTTGTTTGCACCTCACACTCCCAGATCAGACGACTTGACATCCCACCCTCAGTTTACGGTGGCGTGTGTAAACGAAACTAGTCGACTCACTCCTGCTTCAGCGCGCCGTGTGATTTATATTTCAGAGCTCCTGGGAGAGCATTGTGAGCGCGTCTCAGGTGCGCGCGTACGTGTCGTCTCTGCGAGTGAGCGCTTCGGGGGTTGAAGTGGCGAGCGGAGATTTAAAGGCTACTCAGTCTCCGGCGCCCAGTGCTGGGTCCTTTGGGCTCTCACTCTTTGCCCTGGAACCCCACCTGGTGGGAAGTCGTGGTACTACAGATTTAAGGGGACACAATTGTGGTTTCCCCTTCCCCCTTGGGCCATTTTCCTTTGTCGGGGAGATCCGTTCCAAAGAATCTCTTTTCTGTCAGGTTCCCAAAGGACGCCTCTCATCTCAATATCCTCAGACTGCCTAGTGACATGGGGCCCAGACAAGTCCCTGTCAAAACCACGGTAGCCCCAGGGAGTTGGGGAGCAGGGTCATAGCAGGGAGCCTCCATCTCAAGCAGGACATGCCAACTCTTTGCTGGGCACCCAAGGCCAGCCCCTCCGGTGCTCCACCTGTTGGGCTTGGGAGAAGGGGCTGGAAGATGGTGTTGAGGTCTAAAGGAATCCTAAGAATCTACTCTTACCCCCATGGACATGGCACTAGCCCTGAGGCTGGTACAGTGGGCAAGACCAACCCTGGGGACAACTGTGTCTCTGAATGGCTGGATCACCCATAGCCTTACAGGGATGCAAATGCATGCATTGACACATACTAAGCTTGAGTACACACACCCACAGAGCCCATACAGAGTCACAGGGAATCATTATAGACAAATCAGGCAACACCTGCCTCCCAGACACCAACCTCAAGAATCCTGGGAAATGTCCACTTAGCAGAAACCCCTCTGCACCCATTGCTTCCCCCACCCCGCAGGCCCTCAGTGCCAAAGATAGCTTTTGGACACGTTGTTTCCTTCTCCATGGCCTGGCCTTGTTCAGGTATGGAGTGGGAGGTCAGAGGGGGCATGGACAAAACAGGAGGGGTCCTTCTCTTTGCCCAGCTGCTAATAAGGGTCCTGGGGAATCGGAACAGCACAGCCATGGAGCAATACGGTGGCAGTTTGTGAATTCCTCCTCCTCTCTGCCTTCCGTACTGTTTATCCATCCCTCCCCCCACCCCCACCCCCCAGTGGATGGTTCCCTTCATTGGAACCAGCTCGGGGTGGGGGTGGGGTGGCAGTGGTCAGAAAGAATGAAAGCCACCATGGTCTCAGAGGTTGCTAGGACCAGCCCCCTCCCTAAGATACTTAGGAGGAGGCTTGCTAAGGGCTAGGACAGAGAAGAACAAAGCTCTGTCTTCCCCGGTGAGACTCCACCAGAGGCCATTCTTTGGATTTAAGACTCAGACTGTCAGACTCACACTTACCTTCAATGCTAACCGTAATCCCACACTGAGCTTCGATCCTGCTCACAATGACCCAATCCCTGAGCCTAAACTAAACCGTACCCTGACCAAGCACCACCTCACTCCATCTTTGCCCACAGGGACACGCCTGTACTCCTACAGGTCACCCACCCACCTCAAACTGGCTCAAGGCCTCCCTCCCCAGGAAGGTGCAGTGAACTATAGACCAGTCTGCCTGCTGCCCTGAGCGCACCCCTTTCCCTCCGGGCTGTCTATAGCTCACGTCACAGAAACTGAAGCCTCTCCCTGATACAACTCTGTCCGTGGGGGTTCCAGACACACCCAGGGGTGCAGCTCCTGCCAGCAGCGCCCACCTCTCCTCCGGGTCTAGCCCTTCGCTTTGAATGGACTGGGGGGCCGGGGTAGGCTTGTTAGTCAATCTTTCATGAGGCCGAGAGTTGGAAGGCAGATGTCAGCCCCTCCAGGGAACAAGCGGGCCACAGATGCCCTCTTCCCGGACCCAGAAAACAGTCACCCAGAGCTTCAAGAGCCCTTTCCCCACCAAGTGCCTGCCATCTCTACTGCACTTGCTGTGCCCACTGGAACGCAGGCATCACCCAGCCAGCCCCCCTTGCCAGTGAGTAGTTAGTTCTTTATGGCCGGGAAAACTCAGGCACCTCTCTCGTTTGATTTGATCTCCACTACAGCCTGTGAGGCCCTGCTGATCTCCACTACCATAAAGCCAAACTGTTTTCCGATATAAAATTGACACATTGCTTTTTGTACTGATGAGAAAACCGAATCCCAGGACCCCTTGCCCCCTCCCCACTTTATTATACCAGTCCTCTGCCTCCAAATGGGCCGGCCGGCATCAGCATGACCCTGGGCCCTGCAGCAGCGCCCCCTTTGTGTCCTGTCATGGCTTCTGCCATGAAAGGAGAGTCTTACAGACACTCCGTTTTACGTCGCTTTCCTGGTGAGTTTTCTTTATCGCGGCCATTTACTCACTTTGTCCTCCACCCCACAGCTCCCTCCCCTGCCGGGAGCCAGAAGTCGGAGGGGAGGCTGTGGATGGAGACTGGCTGACCCCCCAGCCTCCGGTCAAG